GAAGCACTGTCTGACGCGTCTGCCTCCGCGACCCGAAAGGAGAAGCGGCGATGGAAGATGAAGATGATCTTTAATGGCCACATCGTTAATAAGGTTCAATTCAGTTATGAACATCAAAATTAAAGTGAAACTAAAACAAACTTTGCTTTTGATAAGCCGTTTGACAATGATAAGTCTTATAGGCTGGCCATGGCCCGTGCATAGTTTTGTTTATAGTTTTAGTCACTTTATTCTCATTTTTGTTGATTACTAAATTTATTCATAGGGTATTTGGTTTTGTTGGTGATGTTAGTTGGTAACTAAAAAGTAGCACTAAAATGTTCTATTTTATACACCCCTTTCGACCCCAAATGCTCCACCTAATGGAGACATTCACATGTCCACCAAACATTATCAATAGCTGAATTTTGAAAAAAAGATTCTTGAGATTCGGGCGAAAACGTCTGCATGGGTTAATCGTTTGATCTAATAGCTTTGATGCTATCTAATTCGCGCATATGTTTTTTTATCTGTGCTGAAAAGCAGAACTCTTTAATGACCTGACTGAAGCAACTAACTTTAATTCATATTTTATATCAATATTGTTGCATGACATGATTATCGTTATAAATAAAGGCTGGAAACCGCTTTCTGATGGCTCACAGCCCATCTAGTGATGGGCCGGACGCTTCGCAGGCTTAGGCATAAAGACATTAGAAGCATGCTATTTATCTCATTATCTAGATGCCACAAACAGCCGTGGTTCTGTTTCTAAACCTTGAAATGAAAAACTCGCTTTTTGCACATTCGTCAGCTGGTTTCTGTAGCAAATGTCATATGTTATCTAAGAGTGTATTTAGGCTGCAGATAGCTAAAACCAGTGCCAGTCTACACATGTAAGAAGTGCTTCTCAGACAATCCTATAACTAGCATTGTACTACGATGTAGTTAAGAAGAAATTCTGAATGACATGGTTTAGCCAATCAATTTTCGAATAATCAGATGCCAAATACCAGGATCACGAATCCAAGTTTTGCTAGGCCTAGATGATGATGACAACAAGAAAATCGACGTCGAAGTGGTCAACTCAAAGCCATGTTGATGAGAAGTAAAGAACTATCTGGTTACTCCAAGGATGGAAAGCATTCGTCATGCATTAGTCAATTTGTTTGAATTGAAATAACTTGTTTTGCACTTTTTCGTCATCTTTAAAAACGATCGATAGAATTGAGGCGCTGGAATAACTACAAGTCCAAATCGTCTGAAATGTCTAACCATCTAGAATTTGCGCGCTTTTCTTCAAAAATCTACAGATTCATTGTTGCATTCAGTTTTTGTCTCTAACGTGAATATAACCAGTAATAATGATTACCGTATAGCATAGAGTAACGTAGTTATTATCACGAATTTCACGTAGCGATGCCCATAAACGGCACGCATTCTCAAAGTCGATATTCGAAGTCGATATTGGAGACACTTGGTGCCTGTCTCATTCGATTATTGCGATAATAACTTTAAGTAAAGTTGCAGTCATCCGCGAGATCTGATCTGTCATTACTGGAAATGCGTGCCTCAGATCGTTTCACAGTAAGTTGCCTCAATAACCTATTCAGATTTTTCTACGTTCTTCGTTCATCAAGGCTGAATCCGTCTGTTAAACATTTCAGAGACACGATTATACTTTGCGAGGATACTCTGACTTAATATAAATCGAAATTTGAAGGCTTACAGTTTTGCTAAATGACAGGTCGGCGACTAGGTGGGTCAATACATCATACAGCTATATAGCATATAATGATACAACCGTAATAACCCATGATATCGCCACACTAATGTATCATGCAACCTCAGAAAAATGCAAGTCATCGAGTGCGATTTACACGACTGTACTCAAATACAGAAAGATCGAATGAATACAAGAGTCAGTTAGCAGTTAATATGAAAATCAAATGTGACGCTCCTAGCATGCTATATTCAGGCCGATCTGAAATGGTTAATGTATTGAAGTAACGAATTAAAACGTAGCAAAAGAAAAATGATGTGTCGTATGTGCGTCGTTAAAGAGAAGGATTAACTGTAGGGGTAAGGTAAGAGGTAAATTGATATAATTAATCAAAACGCTTATTATAAAGAAATACTTTGAATTTCAATCGCTTATCGGTCCATTTCATCCGCAGGAAGAAGGTAACCGTTAGCTGATCAGCCTTCCAATGCGCATCTATCATATTGATCCGGACAAGGACGGTAACGGGGTCTCCGGTGTTATTCGGCCGCACATGACCGTCATAGTCAATCATCAGCTCTCCAAGCATCGCGGAGCCGGCTGAAAGAGTCACTTCGCGATCCATTGGACTGGCGGTGAACAGGTACACGAAGAAATGCAACACAACCTGAAAGAAGCCTGTCTAAACGCTGAAACGAATACATCTCAGGCAATGCTTAGTATCACCAGAAGGAAGTTGCCGGTAGTCAAGTTGTAGATGGCCATGGCTGAACGACGGCCAACGTCCATGCGAAGAAGCAGGTGAAGTGAGAGACTGCGCAGGCAGTGACGAATAAATACGGTGGCAATGTGTGCGAACTGGCGTCTATCGCGTCTTTCTTAGTGGCGATTACCGCTGGGCATGAGTATCAATCAGCTCGAAGAGGTTCTTTCTTCTTTGCTAAGAACTCTGTCCGCGCCGACACATACACACAGATGTCTGCGCGCTTCTTCACACCGATGACTGGAACGACCATCGATTGGACTAAAAGTGTGTACAAGGTCCAATTGCTTCTTATTTCAAGTTTCGGTCGGTCGCTACGACTGACTATTAGTGACTGACCCACCGCAACCGACGGTTGGAACTTCTAAGCATCACTAGCAAAGAATCGATACACGAAAACGAAAGGTGACCCCATGACAGCGACCGCTTAAGCGACTTCTGAATTAATTATGCTTCAGCCATGATGAATGGACGGATATATGGTAATCTAAGCATAAAATTCACCCATCGATTCGCCATCTTTGCGCAGCTAATTTTAAGCTGAATAGACTATTAATCATTCAAGCAATTACTCATGATTTCCCAACTGGTCATGCTATCGGAATTGATCTTCGTATTACCATTTCAAGCTTATTATGATTGCAATGCTGTTATCGTCCACTTTATTATTGATGAGATTACGACGTTGGCTCGTCTTATATCTGCCTACATTTGAATTTAGAATTTAGAATTTTTTATTCCTCCAGCAGCTACGATGTCTTTCAGTGGCAAATTTTGAATCTCTGTAGAACCGACAAATAGAAATTCTGATTCTGTGCTTATAAGCACTACCAGGAACAAAGCAAAACTTTTAATTAACAATAATTTAACTGTTCAATTGAACTGCCATCGATCACCATTATAATTTAGGTTGAAACGGTGAAATAACGTTAAATCAAGATCCTACATCCACTGTGGGTTATTCACCTTACTTTTATAATGTGAATCGTTTATTATCAGAACCTACCATTGCGCTACAAATCCTGATCTTTGCTAGGTTGACCAGACTTTTATCTGCCTGTGTAAATTGAAACGCACTGCATGGTGAGAACGGTTTGTCTTCAAATTTATCCATTGCTTATTAATAAACCTAATTATCCATAATGAAGCGGATCTACTTTCTTGCATTCTCTTCTTAATAGTAATCAGGAAATGACGAGTTATTATATTCGTCTGGTATATATCCAATTGGCGCCCAGTTCTAGCTGTTCAGTGGTGCTGTCACTTTTCTTGAGCATCCAAAACATGTATTACTGTGATTTTCGTCGAATACGAGACGTAATTGCCCTTTCAGATGTTAATAGCTCTGTAACTTGTCATCAACGATTTTAGAGAAATCTAGTGTTTGTTCAACACAGTATTGTACTGTGCGATCGGTTAGCCGTTGGCAAAGCGTTTTATCGTGGATTGTTCGACTTAATGCGCCTTAATTTCGTAGAATATGGCCACTTCTCTAAACGCCTCTCTTCGTCATTTTGCACAACCAACCTAATCGAGCTTTCGAATGGAATTTGGGATATTGATTAGTCACTGAATTAAAATTGTTTAACAGTAAGTGCCGTAATGTCCGGGAGCAACGGCTGGAAAATTACTGGACTGGGGAATTTTGTAAATCTTTGGGAAAGCGTTGTGAGTAAATCTAGAGAGTTTTTGTTCTATTACTCTCTATATACTGTCGCATTTTCTGGGAGCTGTGGACCATCAACACAGTGGACTTCGTCAGAAGCTTTGCCTATGCCAGTAACTCTGAAAAAACTTGCATTTAGGTACCATGGAATGACTAGAGCTGCATGCTAGACGGGACACGCTGCCAATAATCAGCCAATTTTAATGACTGTTTATTGTTTTCGGTACCGGGGGTAGAAGGCAACATAGTCTCAACGTTCATGATCCTGTGCCAGCATTTGAGCTTAAGGTAAGATGACTTGAGTCGGGAGCAGAATTTGCGAAGACGTTTGCATGAACGTCATTCTTGGCCATCCCAATATCTGCTAGTCGGTTGGATAAGCAGAAGCTGTTTAAACGTCCTTTCTTTCTAGGTGGGCATGGGAATGAAGACCTACCTGAACACGAGAGCCTATTCTTCAGACTCAGCTCTGCTTTGGTCACAATGGATCGGGCTAATTCACGCAGAATGCCACTTTCTACTTCAATCCGCCGGT